TAAGCCACCCTAATCCCAGCCACCCAGGAACACCTCTCCAGGATAGCCGCTTAGGTAAGGGTCGCCGGTGCCACCCGCTCGCTGAAGCTCCTTGCTCCTGCCTAAGGCCGAAGCCCGTCCCGACTCAAAAGTCAGGCCAGAATTTCTACCGTCAGAAAGCGGGGCATCAGTCCGAATACGGAAAGCGGTAGCCAGAGCGGTCAGACCAGCCGCAGCTTTCTTGCGCCGCCAAACGCCCAGCGCAGACAAGGTCGCAGTGTGGCCTTTTCACATGTCACGAAGACCAGCCTGTCGCACCATGACGTTGGAAAGCTCATTCGCCAGCTCTCGCCAGAGATTTGTGTCTTGACGCCCCCCCGCCGACGACGAGGAATCTTCCCGATCAAACAGGACACGAAGGCTGCCGTGCAGAGGCACGCGTATCATTGCTGTTGTTCTGTCGACCCCGTTTTCTGCCCACCCTCTCTCGCAAGGCTATCCTTCATTGCTAGCCATCAATCCCGATATTGACGAAGCTCGACTCGGACCGCGACTTCCCTCCCTCGGCAGCGCATCCCTTCACGAATCGCATTGCGGACGGAGCCACATGCCGCCGTGATCTACACCCCCGAACCTCCCGCTTCCGGCCTCTTGCTCCGACTTATACGATCTTCGACCACATATCCCAAACCACAAACGCAGCCATGGAGAAGTTCAGCCAGTTCCGCGATAAAGGTTAGCACCTCCACCCATCATCACGACTATGCCCATTGCCGTCGCTAACTCACACACCCAATTCAGGCTCCGGCATCTCGCCCTTCATCCCAGTCAAGACGCCGCTCTCCGCGCTCTCCTCCGTCTTCCACGCCTTTCTCTTCCTCATCCGCCTCCCGTTCTTCATCACCTACGTTGCGACCTACTTCCTCGTCCTCCACCACCTCCCCTTTCTGCCCGTCGCCGCCCGCAAGATCCTCCTTTGGGGCATGATGGGCATCCCGGGCATCTGGTGGGTCGACCTCCAGCTCGACGGCGTCCGCCGCGGCACCCTCGCCGAACAGCCCCCGCAGCGCTTCCCCCACCCGGGCTCCGTCATCGCCGCAAACTTCACCTCCCCCATCGACGCAATCTACCTCGCCGCCATCTTCGATCCCATCTTCACCATCTCCTACCCCAACACCCGCTCCGTCGAACGCATCTCCCTCCTCCGCGCCGTCCTCTATGCCCTCTCCCCCGTCCGCTTCGCCCCGCGCCAGGGCGCAAAGCTCACCGACCTCGCCGCCCTCCTCGAGCGCTACCCCGACCGCGTCGTCGCCGTCTTCCCCGAGGCCACCACCACAAACGGCAAGGGCGTCCTCCCCTTCACCCCGTCCCTCCTCGCCGCAAAGCCCGACGTCCACATCTTCCCCGTCAGCATCCGCTACACCCCCGCCGACGTCACCACCCCCGTCCCCGGCCGCTGGTTCAAGTTCCTCTGGGATCTTCTTTCTCGCCCGACCACCTGCATCCGCGTCCGCGTCGCCGAGAGCATCCTCAACTCCTCCGCCGCCCAGACCAACGGCGTGTCATCCTCCCACGACACCGGCTCCTCCGCGCAGCGACGCATGGGCGGCGAGCCCACGGGGCTTTCCGCCGAGGAGCAGCGCGTGCTCGATAAGGTCGCCGAAGCGCTGGCCAGGCTGTGCCGGAACAAACGCGTGGGCCTGACGTTGAGAGATAAGGCCGCCTTCGTCGAAGCATGGAACGGAAGGAAAAAGTGAAACCCTCTGTCACCGCAGTAAACCCAACCACAACACACAAAAAAGGATGAGAAGGAAAGGCGGCCAGCAGTGATTTAATGACAACTTGTTCGGGTATTTGCATAGCTAGGAGCCGGGGCTGCCTTGAACGCGCCATGTTTCGAAATCAACAACGCACCAGAGGGGAAAGAGATGATGAAAAGCAGGTCATGAGCGGACGCCCCGTCTTTTTACAGGCATGCGCGCCGCTGTGTAATGTGTACGTTTGTACGTTTTTGTTGGCGAGCTTCCATATACCACGATTCCAATTCTTTTCTTCGAGCGCTCAGAAATTTGCTCCACCCCCCGCACCACATACACATTTTCGTGATGTACATCCACCAGAGACGAACCGTAAACAAAACTCCGATTTTGGACTACCTTTTCCGAAGCCGTACAAGTAAGATGGTATAACAAAGCGTAAATCTCTAGTGGTGGAAAACCGCCCCCTTTGCCCCTCCCTAAACAAACCCGTTCACCCTCTCTCTTGACTTCTTCCTTACTGCAACTTGCCGTCCGTAACGCAGCCCGAGGACGCGTCGCTGACAAGCAGAGAGTACTTCTTCAGCGTGCCCTTGCTGTACTTCAGCGGCGGCGCCTTCCACTCCGCCCGTCTCCTCGCCATCTCCTCGTCCGACACATTCGTGTCGATCACACGCGACTCAGCATCGATCGTAATCACATCCCCGTCCTGCACCAGCCCGATCGGCCCGCCCTCCATGGCCTCCGGCACAATGTGCCCGATCAGGAACCCGTGCGAGCCGCCGGAGAAGCGGCCGTCCGTCAGCAGCGCGACGTCCTTGCCTAGCCCGGCGCCCATGATGGCGGAGCTGGGCTTCAGCATCTCGGGCATGCCGGGGCCGCCCTTGGGGCCCTCGTAGCGGATGATGACGACTGTCTTCTCGCCCTTCTTGATCTCGTTGCGCTCCAGCGACGCGATGAAGTCGTCCTCGTCGTCGAACACGCGCGCCTTGCCCTCGAAGCGCAGGCCCTCCTTGCCCGTGATCTTACCGACGGAGCCGCCCGGCGCGAGCTGTCCGCGCAGGATCTGGATGTGGCCGGTCGGCTTGATCGGGTTGCTGAAGGGCCGGATGATCTGCTGGCTGTCCGGGAAGCCCTTGACGTTCTCGACGTTCTCCTTCATCGTCTTGCCAGTGACGGTGATGCCCGAGCCGTCGATCAGGCCCTCCTTGAGGAGGAACTGGAGCAGGCCGGGCGTGCCGCCGATGTCGTGCATGTCGGCCATGACGTACTTGCCCGAGGGCTTGAGGTCGGCGAGGAAGGGGGTGCGGTCGGAGACGGCCTGGAAGTCGTCCACAGTAAGCTTGATGCCGACAGAGTCGGCGATGGCGAGCAGATGCAGGACGGCGTTGGTGCTGCCACCAAGAATATTGACTACGACCATGGCGTTCTCGAAGGCCTGGCGGGTCATGATGTCGCGGGGGCGGATGTCCTCCTTCAGGATGTTGCGGACGGCGGCGCCGATGGTCTCGCACTCGGCCTTCTTGGCGGGGTGCTCGGCGGGGCTGCTCGACGACCCGGGCATGGTCAGGCCGAGGGTCTCGATGGCGGTGGCCATGGTGTTTGCGGTGTACATGCCGCCGCAGGCGCCGCTGCCGGGGCATGCGTTGCGGATGATGTCGAAGCGCTGCTCCTCGGTGATCTCGCCGGTGATGTACTGGCCGTAGGCCTGGAAGGCGGAGACGATGTCGATGGACTCGCCGGCCTTGCTGCAGCCGGGCTGGATGGTGCCGCCGTAGACCATGATGGAGGGGCGGTTGACGCGGCCCATGGCGATGGCGACGCCGGGCATGTTCTTGTCGCAGCCGGGGAGGGAGATGTTGCCGTCGTACCACTGGCCGTTCATGACCGTCTCGATGGAGTCGGCGATGATCTCGCGCGACTGCAGCGAGTAGCGCATGCCCTTGGTGCCCATGGAGATGCCGTCAGAGACTCCGATGGTGTTGAACTGGTAGGGGATCAGGCCGGCCTTGCGGACGGAGTCGCGGACGAGGTTGGACAGGTCGAGTAGGTGCATGTTGCAGGGGTTGCCCTCATACCAGACGGAGGAGATTCCGACCTGGGCCTTGTTCATGTCGTCTTCCGTCAGGCCGGTGGCGTAGAGCATGGCCTGGGAGGCGCCCTGGGACTTGGGCTGGGTGATTGTCGCCGAGACCTTGTTCAGCTTGCTGTCGTCGGCGCGACGGGCGGCGGTGGTGGAGAGGAGGCGGCTGGTCCGGGGGGAGTCATTGTCAGCGATTGGGTCTTGTTACAGGGTCGATTGGGTAGCATACGCATGGCTGCTCGCGAACGAATGCCTCGTCGCAGCTCTGAGAGCTGTCGACTGGCGGGCGATGCACCGGGAGAGCATTGCGTCGAAAAGGGACCGCCGGCCCAATATTCAAGCGAATGCGGAGGAGGAGGGGCGGAGAGGGGGAAGAAAAGAGTTGTAAGTCGTGTCGATTGAAGTAAGTCAAGCCTCAATTCATTGCCCGTCCTCTCGACTCGGTATCTTTTTATGGTGGTTGGAGGTGAGGAGGTGAGTCACGGAAAGGCTGGTGCGGTGTAGAGAAAGACCTGAGATCACAGGGACAGTCACAGGGACACGGCGCACACACGAAGTTGAAGATAGTTTGACCTAGGTCCATACCCGAAGGCCATGTCCCACCCCCCAGGAAATTTGGGGCGATGTCGGCTGCGTAAAATTTCTGGAGCTCCCCGCCGGCGCACTCCCCGCATTGAAATAGGAAATTGCTGATTGGCTGGCCGAGGTGGACACGGTGAGGCCCACGCCGAGGGGCCGGTGTAGGAGCTCAGGCGGTGGCCTGTCAAGGTGAGGATGGTGAGCAAGGTGAGCGACAGAGACAAGCATCAGCCAGCCCTGGAGACATAATCGCCAGTTCAACCATACGTTTTTCCTTTCACTTTTCTCACATTCACTCACAATAACTCAATCACATAAGGCCACACCTGCTGTGCAATTCTATCAGCTCCTGCTCTAGCTTCCACATCTTATTTCCGCTAAAGCCCGCTACGCTTCCGGTTCCGGACCAGACCCTCTTTTCAGGCCGAATCCAAGTCCGCGATGTGGGTAATGGCTACCCGGCAACGCGCATACGGCCTCCATAATCCTCATAATCCGATCCCGTAATCGTTTCGTCGGGTGGGTATCCAGAGCATGACGTCTGTTTCAGAGCGTTCTCCCACAGACAGCGTGACGGCTCATTCAATGTGTGCTTCGCAGCTCTATGGCTTCGTCTTCTGCTCCTCCGCCGACCCCTCCTCCTTCTTGTCCTTCTCCTCCCTGCGCGTCAGGATCTCGTCAATCACGCCAATTTCCTTGGCCTCCTCGGCGGTCAGGTACTTGTCGCGCTCCATCATGTCGTTGACCTCCTCCAGGTTGAACTTTTCGTGCCCAAACGACTGGTTGATGTGACGCCTCATGATCTCGTTGATCTGTTTGCGGATGCGCTGGATCTGGTTCGCGTAAATGAGAATGTCTGATGCCTGACCCTGGGTGCCGCCGAGGGGCTGGTGGATCATGACGGAGCTGTGAGGGAGGGCGTAACGCTTGCCGGCCTCGCCTCCTGTCAGGAGCAGCGCAGCCATGGAGGACGCGGCACCGAGGCATACTGTCGAGACGGGCGACTTGATGTATGTCATTGTATCGTAGATTGCAAGCCCTAAGTCCATCAGCTTTGTTCTCCCCGCCGGGCTCGGCCATCTAACCTGACGAGACTGATCCTCCAGGCGAGTTGATGTACATCGTGATGGCCTTGTCTGGGCTATCGGACTCGAGCCACAGCAGCTGGGCAACTATTGATGCGGACACCGTGTCGTCGATCGCGCCATTGAGGCAGACAATTCGTTCCTGCCCGCCGTCAGTCGCCGCTCGCCTCGGAGATTGCGGGATCGCTGGACCGTACCTGTAGAAGCTTGGAGAAGATGTCGTCTGCCTACTCCGTCAGCGTTGAACTTCAGTCGCGGGTGTTGCAGTACTGACATGTCCTCCAGCCGTTGGACTACTCAATTAGCCATCTCCCCAAATCCAACCGTCAAGACCATGTATTACGAACCGATACCTCGGTGATGTACGGCAAGGGAATGTTTCCGGCCGGTGGCGAGCTTCCCATCATCGGGGGAACGGGGAAGTTGGTGAATGCCCTCGCATGTCGTCGCAGGGGCGCTGCGGCCCGCAGAGACCGAAAGAGAGCACGCTGGCAGTTCATGTCGGCGTAAAGAGGCTTGCTGCACACACTGAAAAACAGGTGTTGAAGCTGAAGGAATGGAATGCGATGCGGCTGGCAGCGGCAAGTGGAGGTGACGTTTGTGCGCGCCCAGCGGTGCAGGCGGCGCGGCAGAAGCTTGTGACCCCCTGCGGGGAACCCCCGAGCTCCGAGCTTCAACGCGCCTCTCGCCTAAAAAATGTCCCGAAGCGTGTAAAGCTGCTCGATTCCCCAAATCTTCAGACGTCATTCTCGCAATCGAGCAACGCAGCATCACCCTGCGCCCGATTTCGACGGTTCACAATGGCTTCCCGCCCAGTAGGGACAGGCGTCGTTATGAACCGTCGCCTCCTCTCTGCCCTCGGCAGCCGTCGAACTATCGCCAACTTCTCCCCTAAAGACCTGGAGCGCATCGCAACGAAGAGGAACGAATTGGCTGCCGACTTCGACCGCAGTCTTGGGGAAGATGACGAAGGCAACAAGATCAGGCTTGACACCAAGGAGAAGACGATCAGCACGTCGGTTGGCGAGCTGCCCATGTCACCCCTTATGGATCCAGACTTCGTAGAGACTACAAAGAGGTGGAGGCATCACAAGGGGAGGGCGAATAAAGGCGAAGTCAAGGACTTAAAGGAAAGAGCGAGGAGGAAACTAGAGGAAAATGCATATGGTCAGTTGCGTTCAGCTGATTCGGGATTTTGTCACGAAGCTAACGAGGTTTTCCCAGCTCATGCATTGGCATCTCCCGCCCGAACATGTCAAGTCTTCAAAAAACGTCTCCCCTCCTACTTCCACCAAAAGTTCAACGCCCTTCAAAACTCGGAAACCGGCAAGTTTTGGGCAATTCCGGAGGACATTGAATCAGCGGCACCAGAGAACGTTGAGGGCAAAGAGGGGATCGATACAGCAGAGCAAGAGCCGGAAGCTGGGGGAAGAGCGCAAGAGCAGAAACCCATGATGGGGTCGCCCTCAGGCTACGTTGTGGCCAGAAAACGGGTTCTCTATAACATGATGCAAAAGCCGGGCTCGGGTCCATATTCTGGAACCTCCAAGGCTGTCTTCGCCAGGCGGGAGAACTTGAAAACCCAAAGGAGCCAGATCGTATGGCGCCAAGACATGGACGAGTTCGTGCTGGAGAACATGAGGCGTCAAGCGGTCAATACGATCTTGTATTACCTGCGGCTGTCGAAAGACGCTGACCGTAGGTATCTGAGGCCATGTAGCTTCCGGGACGTACACGAAATGCAGAAGCGTGGGTGTCTGCTGTGGATGCCACCAAACGAAGACGGCCCGGAGTCTTTGGAGCAATTTGCTACTTTTGATGTCCCAAACGTCAAGTGGGAGAAAAAGTTGGCCGTCCATGACCTCAACAGACTGCTGGGACCCGAACACATGGCAACTTTGAGGCAGTACCCCTTGTTCAAGGACAACTCGCTGATTCTGTTGGGCAAGCGACGATCGATAGCTCTACAGCTCGTGCTCTGGAAGCTACAGGGATACTTGGCAGAATTCCCTGAAGATTTCTGGGAACCTCCTTCGAAGACACGGCTGCCCAAGGAGGCTGGTCCAGCAACAGAAAAGAACGACGGGCTAATGAAGAAAAGTCAAGATGGCAGGGGTTTCTCGCGAAGAGATGCGCTGGGAGGGAAGCCATCAATGGGAGACCGCACCGGAGGACGAGGAAAGAGACCGCAACCTGAAAGGGGTTGTCTTGGAAGAGGCCCGTCGGATGGAAACGCCCCAAGACGCGGCATGTGTACACGAAGCACGGATTCCCTGGCAGAGACTAAAGAGAGTCAGCCTGCGAAGGAGAAACCTAAGAAAGGCTCGATAAACAAAGCCAATATGTCTGAAAAGGACGAAGCCAAAGAGAGCGATCCCACAGAGGAGGAAACGAAGAAAGTCTCAAAAAGAAAGGCCAAAGGTGCCGATTTATCTAAATTGGACGAAGCTGATTGGGAGGCGATAAACGCAATTCTCGAAAAGAAACGCCGGCGAGAACGGGAAGAGGCGGAGGAATTCGCTACACAGAAGAGGCTGCTAAAAGAAATTGAGAGCGGGAGGTGGTTCGAATGAGCATATCCAAGTTGGGGATGACAAGAAATTCACAACACGCACGAATACATTTGGCCTGACCGCCCAATATTCCCGTCTCATCTCTCTAAGCATCTCTGCGTCATTTTGGGAAGACACGAACCCAGTCAGGGGAGGTCATGTTCTGCGGTATGCTTTGATGAGCCCAGTGCTTCCCCGGCCAGATTGCGGATGTCTACGAAAAGCTTCCCACGACAGTAACGTTGCGGGCATCTGACCCAAGACGCAGCGTAACATCCTCTCCCTTGAACTCCGTCGCCGCACCACCAACCGTAACGCTCTTCAGCTGACGACCCTCCGGCACCCTCATCTTGACTCTCACCTCCGTCGGGGGCGCCTTATCAAAGCCCAAAGTCGTGGTGACAGTACCCGCCTTCTCGTCCAGCTGCATATCCAGATCGACGAGTGCCCATTTCGTCGGGGCCCTCTCTACCGCGACCTTACCCTCGCTGAGCCACTTCCTCGGCACACCCCGTCCAACCAACAAGGCGTCGTCGTCCGGGTGGTCCAGCAGCAGCGCGGCTCTCAGCAGAATGGGGATGGTGAATTCCGAGGGCTGGCAGTACGTGCTCGAACCGCCCCCGGTGCCAGCGACCTCGGCGGCTAGCCACAGGCCGCGGTTGTGCACGTGGTATCTGTGGGTGTACAAGAACAGCACGAACTCGTCGATGCGGTCCTGGAGCAGTAGGCTCAACGCATAGCCGTACGAGATGAAGCCCAGAATATCTCGCGTATCAGACTTCAAGGGCGTCACGTTCGCCACGACACCCAGACTCGTGATGCCGTACGCCCGCATTGAGTCGATCACCATGTCCGTCTGGTTCGGCGAAAGGACAGACGCATGCAGCAGCTCCGAATAGACGCGGTGAGGCCACCACTGCGACGACGCGTCCCCCTTCTCCGCCAGGTCCTCCAGCACATGCGTCGTCTCGTTCGGGAGCACAGGGACATACGGCGGCGTGAGATTGCGCTGTGTCCAGTGTTCAAGGGTCACTGCCGTCTGGTTGACCAGCTTATCTGCGCGCTCGTTCCAGTCCTTAGCCTGCTCCGCGAATGCCTCAATCTTGCTCAGATCCCGCAACCCGCGCGCGGCGAAGGCAGCATTGTTCCAATACGGCTTCTCAAACCGCCACGCGTCGCTCCGCAGCGCCGCGTCGGACTCGCTCCAGCCGGAGATGAGGCCGTAATACGGGTCCGTCACCGGCAGCTTCAGGTTCTCGTCCTGGCGCGTCGTGAGCATGCCCACCCATGCGAGGATCTTGGCCTTATACTTCTCCACAAAGGCCGCGTCGCCGGTGTACTGCACGTAGCGCGCGATCAGGGACAGCGACAGGCCGAACTGCGGTACCGCGGGCCCGCGCATCTTGATCGCGCCGTCGTCGTAGACGTACCAGTCCATGTAGTTCTCCAGCACGACCTTGGCCTGGTCAAAACGGCCCCACGCGAGGTTCGCCGTGAGCGAGCTGGTCAGGATGTCCTGGAAGCCGTCGTACTCGGAGCCGCCGTAGTCGCGCTCGAAGGCGCCGTAGCGCGGGGACACGCCGCCGCCGCGGTTGACGAGCTCCGCTGCGAAGGCGTGCTTGCCCATGTCTGCCCAGGTCTCGTCGGGCAGGGTGAGGGAGAGGCCGTCTTTCACGTGGGAGGTCCAGTAGTCCGTGAAGCGGATGAGCGCCGGGTAGAAGTCGTTGGCGGTGGGGTGTGCCTTCAGGGGCAGGAATTGCTTGTAGTCCAGAGCGAACTTGTGGGCGCGGACGACGCCTCCCTTGATGTACGTCATGGAGAACCACACGTGGACGATCTCCGGGTCGGGCGAGTCGACGTCGGCGAAGGCGGTGATGTCGACCCAGTCAGTCACGTCGTTGAGGCCGCGGTAGATCTTGCGGCACGCGGGCATCCAGCCGCCGAGGAGACCGTCGAAGCTGTAATTGGAGTGCGTTCCATCCGCGGCCTCGAGCAGGTCGTTCCACGGGGCGTAGTTCTTCGTCGTGGACTGCCAGTCCAGCGCCATGGTGTCGTTCGCCTGGACGTTGCCGAGGTACGTGTCCCACGGCAGGAAGGACAGGTCGATGACGTCGCGGACATGCGTCTCGACAGGCTCGCCATCCTTGAGGAGGCGCTCCGCCAGGACGTCGTTCTGCTTGAGATTCACATCGTTGGCGGGGTCGAGACCAAAGTACGCGTCAACGGTCCGGTTGAGCGAGACAGCCTCGTCGCTTGAGGCCTCGACGTATCGCTTGATCTCGCGGCGTGTGCCGGAAGCTGAGACCAGAACCAGTGGGCCGTCGAAGCGTGTGAGGTCTTCGTAGGCCGTCCATGTCTCGCTGTTGTAAGTGAAGGTGTCGATGGGGGTGAGGCCGTCGGCCGTCTTCTCTTGGCGGGGGTTCAGGTGTTCTGGTATAGGGGCTGCGAAAGACTCAAAGGAGTCATGTCTAGCTAGTTGCGGTACCTCGTGGTAAGGCTTGGGGTGCTTGACGTCGCCTCTGCCAGCTAGAGCTGTGATAAGGAGTGAAGAAAAAACGAATGACTTTAAAAAGGAGTGTCGAGGCATGTTTGGTACCTGTGCCTGTCAGAACTTGTGAAGGATCGAGGTGTCGATACCACCTGGGAAACACCGTCTTGCCCAGGGACTCGTCGCTTCATGTAGTTTTTGAGGCCTTTCATTGTGAGATGAAGGGGCGACGATAGTTCATTGGTGTCTGGCCATGTGCGACTTGGACAGGGGTGTACCTGAGTCGAGTCATTACACTAAAGAAGGTTAATTGATTGCTTCTAATTGGGCAGGAAAGCATTGTTCACTTTGCTCTCCATGGTAATTGCTCCAAGATCCCGCGGTAAACGAAGTTGAAGGGCGAGAGAAAGAATTCTGGAAGGTATCGGATTCGGCATCCGGCGCGACCTAGAAGCTCTCGCGCACGCTTAGCCGTCCGCGCCGATTTCCAAAGCTGCGCCTTACGATGACCTCGCTTGAGAACTTTCTTTGGGGGCCAACTACTAGATTCAGTATTCGGTTATCTCGGCAAACGCCTTAACTTACAGTGAAATTGCAACTATCCCTGAAAGGCAGACAAGCCGTATCCAGATATCCGGTTGTTCCGGCCGGATGGGAAACCAACAGAAACACATGCACTTTCGACGGACATACTGTGTAACCGTGAAATTGGCGGCCCACGAAAGGACCATTGACGGCTGAATTAGCGGCGACTATAGTCAACGGCATGGTGCTGCGAGTTCTGATTGCAACAGTGTTTTCGAACCAGGCATTGCAAACATTTCCCATCTACAAATCAAATATCCATCCTGTGTGCAAGTTGCCCAGGCTGAAAAGAACACTGCCTCTATATGATATCTGATGGACCACGAGGTTGTTTTCTCAAAGGACACGTCGTTGGTGTCTTTTCTAATTTCCATGCGAAACAGTGAGCTACTTTATTCTCAGAAACTCTAGCATAAGATATCAGAAATGAGGCAAATTTGTCATCAAAAAGAACATCCATGTCAGAGTTATGAGGACCAAGTTTTTGACTGTTCGTCTGAATATGACACACTTGTATCCTATGAATCCTTTTGTGGTGTTTGTCTCCTCTATGTATGAGACGATTGGGGAATCTCCACAGTCGCGAGGCTACAAAACACCTGATCATAGAACCAACATAAGCATCAGTTGAATCTGTAAGATTCCCCACTGCGTATCGCTGATTGACTTCTGTGATTTCTAATTGGTCTTGTTGGTTCTGTTGGTCTTGTCGGACCCCTAGGAATCTTGCACATTACCCCGCTTGACCTCTCGCAATACCTGACTCCTCCTGCCCTCATCATACTTGGCGACCATCTCCAACATGAGATGGCACGCACCCACCTGTCACCAGCCGGAAGTACATGTCGCAGAGGATGGCTTCCCAGTTTGCAGAGGATGCGGCAAGTCAGCAAAAGATATGCGACACCTTCGCGAGGATACGCACTCCTCATTGGAATCGCTGCCTCCAGACGAGCCAGAAAGACGTCTCAATCTATGGTGGCCACCTTTGGTGCCATATACGTCGAATGATGGCACAAAGTCCGACATCCCGGAAGCTTCGGTAGTGCCGCCAATTTCCCCAGCAAGCCATGGGAATCAGATCTACGAGAGATCCTTAAAGCCGAACGAGTTCCGACTCGCATGTATTTCTGCAATGCCTAGCAAATCCGACACCAGATACCCAATTCACCTTTCATTCGAAGTTTTCGAGGACGACCATTATCCCGATTACGACACAGTCTCCTACGCCTGGGGCGGTGAAGACAACAACAGAGACCAGTAGGCACGCCCGATCAAACTCTCAGTCTCATACTGCGGGAATCAACTGACCCGTTTGAACTCGCAGCAACTGTCTTATCTACATCGGCGACTACTGGGATATTTTGTACACAACCCAAAATTGCTGGGCTGTTCTGCGATACCTTCGTCCTTGGAGCGGCACAAGATTAGTCTGGCTCGACTTCATCTGCATCAACCAATCCGACATGAACGAGAAAACCCAGCAAATTTTAAAAATGGGTCATATCTACTCCCATTGCAACCAAGTCTTCTTATGGCTTGGACAAGACGCTGTGTCTCATGACCAAGCCGCTCTGCCGTCTCGCCGTCCTCTCGAATATCTTCAAGGGCTTCATCAGATTCTCTCACGAAACTACTTTACTCGAGTGTGGGTCGTTCAAGAGCTGGTTCTGTCACCTCGCATCAGCATGCCTTATGGTAGCAACGTTTTTGAGGTGTACCCTCAAAGCCTTGAGAACATGGCAGAAAAACTGGCAACATCCCCGGCGCCATGGCTCAATCTTGCCACGCGAGGGTTATCGCACAATCATTCTTGGACAGAGGTCATGAGGATGACCTCACTGTCAAAATGTTCAGACGCTCGAGACAGTCTGTACGGTGTACTCGGGCTGTGGGCATCCGGCGGCAGTTTGCCCATCCCAAGTTACGCAATTTCGTACCAGCACATGATGATAGGCATGTTCGCCTGGCTTCTGATCCATGAGCATGATCTTAACATTCTCCTTGCTGCAAAATGTATTTCCTTTGCAGGGTATGAAGATCCCTTACCGTCATGGATACCACCTTGGAGGAATCACGACTTTTGGCAGTGGTTCATCAACGTTTCTTCCAGGAATCAGGTCAAGCCCCCCGGTTTGACTTTCCCTGTCAAGCGCATGTCGTACAACAACGGGGAACTCGGCCCACCATACGGCCGACCCTGGCATGCGTCTCAGATCACAGTCGACCACAACACTGGCGCACTCTCGTTGGTCGCAATCAAGATACATGTCATGCAATTTGATTTGCAAAAGCAAAACACCGACCCTCGCGATCATGAGTGGTCGTCACGGTGCTGTCTCCATGTCCAGACTTCCAAAGACATAGACGGTATTGTCAAAGAGGGTGATGAAATATACCTTCTTAGTCCAGCTACTTCTGGGGGGCAAGACAAGCACGAACCACTAGTTTATCTCTTCTTACGGAAGGTTGCGAATCAAATGCACAAGCTTGTTCTGTGTGAGCCAATGGTTTACTTCAAACACTGTCCGGTGTATCAGTCGCTGGAAGAAACGCGAGTCGACCGGTCATTGGCAATAGACGAACTTCAAGAACTCTGGCATCGTCCAATGTACAAATTTGACAAAGACATGCACACTGATGGATTGCTTGGTCGAGGTCTACAAAGGACGTTTCCAGGGAATGACGACACTCCGTTTCATGTCTTACTGGCGGTCATCTTAAGCAGCAATGATGTCCAATGGCCGCTGGACATCAGCGCCTCACGCAGCTATGATGTCCAACGGCTGCTAGACAACGACGCCGCCCGGGGATTTGACGCCAAAATCAAGACAAACGAAAAATTCATAGCGCATGGAAAAGCGGTTTCCTATCTCACATTCAAATTCAGCAGATCTTACTGGGAAGATGTTGAAGCTCTTTACGCCATGGACAAATACCGGCCTCTCGATGAAGGAATGCATTTCCAGTGCAACGACAATCCTCCCGAGAGTGAGGATTGGAACCCTATCTACGCTCGCAGATGTTGGGATCTCCCTGAAAGATTTCGGCATAAGGAGTTGATGTACGTCGAATGTGAACTTCCCCACGTCCACAAACTTCTTCTCAGGATAGACCGCGAACTATGTATCACCAGTATCTGGAGGTCCATTGGCATTCACGATCCCAAGGGATCCTGGGGGGAATTGCTCCGTGCGAGGGCTGTTTATCCTAGCATGACGGATTCCGGAAACCTCAAGGCAAATGATGAATATGATAGACATCATAGCATTCACCGCGTTGGTAATAGTGTTGTGGTGGGGTTAGAATCGCGTATTCACATAGTTTGATACGAGACGAGGCTACAAGATACGGTTTGCTATCCTCAGCACATAATCTGTGACGTCAAAGATAGGCTCAATGCGAAAAAAAAAAAAAAAAAAAAAAGAGCTACCAGTTGAGCTGAAGTGAGCTTTAAGATTGCGACTCTCGACTTCTTTCGTATTTCACAACACTCCTTGCCCGAACACCTTGAAATACTGTGTAATTCGATCTAATCCTGCCGTCCCATGACCATCTCGTCCACGAATACGTACAAACTTCGTTATTGGACCAAACATTGATGCCGTTTCTCGTCTCACAAGCGTTCTCCGGTCCCTCGAGGCTAATTTGAGCAGGAATGAGGTCGGCGAAGTAGCGGACACTGGTTCCGTTGAAGGTAGTAGTAGGTAGTAATAACATCGATGCTCCGACCGTCGCCCATTTCGAGAACCTCAGTATCGAGAGGAGATTGTCAGGGCTTTGATATGTCCATGCCGAACATTGACCAACTCGCCGTGGGGTTTATGATCCTCACAGGAAAAAGCAGCAGATTTAAATGTAACAAAGAGACTTGGGTTAGGCATACTCGAATGAACATGGTTTGTTTGTTACCTAGTCACTTAACCGTCCCAAAGTATGCACGTAGCTTCACATTAAGTATTGATGCAGAAAGCGCAAATAGATGGAGAAGACCTGACATTCTTCAATTTGGAAGCTGAGATGTAACATGTACAGCGTGGAAGACAACGAAGGAGTTGAAAGAAACAGGGGCTATCTAAATCTTGGAACTGCGTCCAAAACCCTATTAGCCGCTTCTTCTCGTAACCATCTTGCTTCGTTACCACCGTCACCATCGTTGTTGTCGTTGTCATCGTCACCGTCTCTACTATATTCTCTCCAACGTGTGTACCATCGCTATGCTTCTCGATATCGTTATCATCATCGTCAAAGACGTCATTTAAGTGGTCGCCCCCACTAATTCGTTGTCTTAGATACTGTCCTCCAGTTCATCTGTGTCATTTCAAAAGCTGCCAAGACATCCACATAAGGCCATCTCCATCCTGCTTCCTCGTTCAACCACCCGAAGGGATATATACACCTCGCCTCCCACTGTGCCATATCAAGTACCCATCCAGTGAACCACCGATATGCAGCATCAACTCTGCTTCCCTACCAGAATCAACCTTGTCAATACTCTTTGCGGACCTAGACAGGTGCCCACAGAGCTTACCCATCTAACTCATACGTCAGTGGACTGCAAGCATTCTCCGCCACACCAACACACCCTCCGTCCATCTACCTCACCTCAAAGACATCCCTTGCAAACTTCCAATATCAACTGCTTAGCATTTCCAACCTGAACCACAATCACAATCACAAAATCCGCCGGCGCAACCGCGCAGAAACCCACTCACCGAAACCAACGAAACTGCAACCCCCGAGAAAAGGCAACGAGGCTAACCACCCTCGTCCGCAGCCTCGTCGCGCCTCAATGATCTGCACCGAGCCTCAACCCATACCACCCTACACAGCCTCCCTCTCCTGCCTATTCGAGGGACGACATGGCTCCCGACCGCAGGCAGTCATGCGAGATTTCACAACTCCAAGACGAGGAGGGACAACCACAGATGTTAATGAGCCTCAACCTATGCCACCCTACTCAACCTTCCTGTTCTCCTGCCTATTCGAGACACAGCATGTCTTTGACGGTAGGCAGCCGTCCAAGACTTCACAACTCCAAGACAAGGAGAAACAACCGCAGATGCCAATGAGCCTCTAGACCCATAAGGCAACAGCGTGTATCAACTTCCACCGTCCTCACCAACTCCAGCACTCTCCTCAGCCAGAATCTCAAACACCCCCACGAGATACGCCCACAAACAGCATCTAATCACGTACCATCATGCCCATCTAAGAACCTCCCCCACGACCTGCAACGGCGCCTCCGAAGGGGCCCTCATGCTTACCTCACACCTCCATCTGATGTAAGCTTCCTCTCCCTCCCCCATCCCCAAACCCTCTCCTCAGCCGCAGACAGACAGAGAGCAACAGAGCCTCTCCCACCGCCCAAAATCACCTACCAGTCCATCTTTTTCTCCTCCTACAACGTTCCATCCAACCAAATCTCACCCCATCCCCCCGAACCAATCCAAAAACACACAGAATTCCAACCAATCCAGCCCGCATCCGCCATCACCACCATCCATCCCATCAGGCATCCAAACCACCCGTGCCGTGCCTGGCCTGGCCTGATCTGACCCGACTTGGACTGCCCGCTACGCCCCAAACCCGCATCTTCGATCCTGTACTCCGCGGATGCCCCCTCCCCCCCTTACTGTATACCATGACCTAGGCCGCGAAAAAGGCCACATCCACCCGAAAGCCATTGAACCCTCACAATCAATCACAACGAGGACCCTTTCAACGGCCGTGAGGGAACAACAAACAATTATATCAATTCTCACAACTTACCTCTCCAAAAGCCTCAGGCCGCATACAAACCGACCAGCCCAACCAACACCCCCAGAAAGAACCACGGCGCCCCCTCCACGATACATCTTCCCTCCCTCTCTGACAAAAAGTGCCAGATTCCCCAGGCACACTCCCACAGCCATCTCTAATAGGCCAAAAAAGCACTCACGAAGAGGATAATCAACCTCTCGGGTGTGCTTACTCGAACAGATATCCCGTAAGCACATAGCACCTACATACCAAGCATACACAACATACCCGCGGCCCCGAGCCGGTTGGTCCATGCCTAAACCCCCCTCCGCCCCTCAATGGCCCTCCCGCCTACTCGAACTGCTGCCAACGTCCTGTACGGCGTATGCATCAAGCAGGCTCTGCGGCTGTATAAGGCAAGAACTGCACATTCACATAGCACACATTCCCAGACATCAGCCCTTCCGTTCGGGCTGCGGCGCCAAAAGCGAAGAGGCACCACTGCCCCTCCCTCCCCCAAAACGGGTTGGTTGCAGCCGGCGCTTGCTGCGCGGCCAATGAGCTCATCTGTGGGGCCCGGAGTGTCTCTGAGGAGGGGTGCTGGGTCTCTGCGAGTGAGTGCGTGTGTGAGTGGGTGAGCCCAGGACGGCGGGCAGTGGGATCATGGTGCCCAGTGTGATGTGATCGGAATCGCGGGGTCGTGTGTGCGTGTGTGTGTGCTCTCAATGCGAACCTGAGACCCTGCCTGACTGTCTGCTCACGAGGATATCAGTCCATCGAGATGCGACCTGTAAAAAAAAAAAACCATGGCTCATCATGAGGCAACTGCGAAAAAAAAAGTCTCAATTGAACAACGCATGAAGTCGCATGGATGGAAGCTTGAGCGAAGCTCTACCAAAGGCCCTCCGTCCAAGCTTGTCAGGAACGTTCACCGCCATGGACCTGGCAGCGATGTCCTAGCCAGGAAACGACC